GTGAGTGAGTGAGTGAGTGAGTGAGTGAGTGAGTGAGTGAGTGAGTGAGTGAGTGAGTGAGTGAGTGAGTGAGTGAGTGAGTGAGTGAGTGAGTTTTTATTTATAAAGGCCCTTTCACAGAAATATATTCACAAGGTGCTGTACAATCATTAACAGTATAAAAATGGTGGAAAGAATAAAATTAAACAGAAAAACAAAATTACACATTAGCAACAAAAATTGAAACGTCAAATCAAGAATTAATTTCTAAAATTGTAACTCAAACACAAGGTCAATGCAGGGCAAAAATATACAATAATACACAAAAACATAATTGCGGGAGAGAAAAATATAACGTAAGTTCAATAATAAAAAAAACAGATTGGCGAGTATTTACAATGGAGGTAGGCTGGCAATAAATGGTGAAATGGTTAGCTAAACGCTTGAGAGAAAAAGTGAGTTTTTAGGAGCGTCTTGAAAGAGACAATGTTATCAAGGGAGCGCAGATTAAAAAGGAGTTCATTCCAGAGCCTGGATATGAACCCAGATAAGGCTGTGGAATGTCAGTGATAGTCTTAAGAGAGCAACATGGCAAAGGATGTTCATGGGTTGACTGGGTTATTTTTGTGCTTTAGAGTTAGCTTTTGCTAAAACTTGCAGTGCATTAGTGCTTTAGAATTAGGGGACCTAAATATTTGAGTTTGTGTTTTAGGGCTAGTGGAACTAATTTTTAGATTAATGCTGCCCACYACTGCTCATAACAAATTTAAAACCTAAACAGAAAGAAAGAGTTGAACACTTCCTCTAAAGGAACTGGATTGTTCACTTTAAGACAGCAAAGCTGGGTGGGAAGCCCTCCCACTGCTGCTGCTGCCAGATAACAGGAAACTGAAACTTCAGTGTGAGCGGGAGAAATCATGGCTCACAGGTCAGAGCTGTTCGACTGTGTTATTTGTCTACAAACACTTGAAGAACCAGTCACCACCGCCTGTGGACACAGTTACTGTATGAGATGCATTAATTCTTTCTGGGACACAAAACAAGACAATGAAGGAAAGTACAGCTGCCCTCAGTGCCGGACAACTTTCAGGAAAAGGCCTGCTCTTCAGAAGAACACACTTCTGGCCGGCCTGTTGGAAGAACACAAGAAGAAAACCAGCCCAAGTGCAGCCGCTGCTGAAGACGTCTCTGCTTCTTTACCAGACGATGTGCAGTGTGACGCCTGCACTCAGAGGAAACAAAAAGCTGCGATGTTCTGTCTCACGTGCCTGGCCTCGTACTGCGAGGAACATCTGCAGCCTCATCTTGACGTGGCGGCGCTGAAGAAGCACCATCTGATCCAGGCCTCCAACAGAATCAAAGAGAGCATCTGCTCGCGTCACAACAGACGCCTGGAGTTTTACTGTCGTTCTGACGAGCAGCTGCTGTGCCCGCTTTGTGTGGTGGACCACAGAGATCACAACGTTGTAGAGGTGGCAGCAGAAGTGCACGTAAAACGGGTAAATCGCTTCGGACATATCTTCAAACCGTGTTAATCACCAATAAAGTTCTTCAAAGTTCAAAGATTTCTGCCCTTTTTTTTTTTTCAGAAACATCTGGATTGGATCAGGCAGCAAATTGAACACAAAATGGAGGTTTCAAAGAGTAAAATGGCTCGGCTGACGGATGCTGCAGACGCTATAAGAGTGAGATTTAAACTCGGACTTTGTTCAACAACACATTTTTCAACGGTGTCTCGGGAAAGGTTTTAAAGGGGGCACTGAAAATCCTGGGGAGGCACAACAAAACCAAGCTGATGTACCTCAGTTTATTTTACAGATAACTGAATATATGATGTGCTTGGACCAAAACAGATAGTTCCACAACTGTCTAGTTTTAATGAGTTTTGTATTTTTGCAAACATGTAAGGCCATAAAATGTTCCATGTTAGCCCTTTCCCCCCTTCAATTTGAAAGGGTAAAGTGTATAAAACATTTACTAAAATAATTTKTTTAAGTTTAAAACCTCTAAATCTTCCAATTTATATATAATTATGAATGTCCAAAACTGGGAATAAGTAAAAAAGCATAACAACGAACTATGCTCATTTTGCTACTGCACTTGCCCAAACTTTTCCATTTTTACTTTTTAGGCCATGTTAGTTTCAGAAAAGCGCCAATATTTTGGGTGTGGCCACTGTCCCCCCTGGCCCCTCCTTATGTTTGCCCCTGACATTTCAGTGTTTTGATTTTGTTTTCCTTTTTTTTTTTATTTATTTGCAATCGAGATGCAAGCAAACAAATCATTTGCGGTAACAAAGAAGAGGAACTAAATAAGGGGCGCGAAATTTGGATGCAACAGATGTTTCCTGTGCAAAAGTTGTTTTCTTCCCTCGACTCAGTCATTCGGTTCAAATACAAACGATTGTTTTTATTTTTTTTCCACTTCAGGTTGAGAATAAATGTGTTTTCTGTTACAAGGATGCTGCCTGGGAGGCRTGCGATGACTTTGAGCAACACTGCACAGAACATACCTCTTTATTCGGCCTCTATCTGGAGAAGAAATGCTCCGAGATGAGAGAGAAAGTTGGAGAACTGGAGAAAACTGGAGTGGACTGGATGAACGGTCACCTCGGGCCACTGCAGCGTGACGTGTTTGAACTGAAAAGAATGAAGAAGGAACTCAGCCWGATTTCTCACACAGATGATCCCATTCAGTTTTTTCAGGTGACTGAAYGAACCTCATTTGGTCACGTTTTTTAGAATTTGTTTTGAAAAGTTTCATCTAAAGGCCACGGCACGGTGAATTTGTTTCGCTCTTGCAGGATTTCCAGGCCCTTCCTGGTGACCTTCTTGCGTTCACAAACACGCAAGAGCCACTCGATACACTGACGGGGTTTGTGACCGCGCAGGTAGACGAACTGAAAAGGATGTGTGACAAAGAAAAGGATGAATCATTCAGGGATTTTACAACTATTACAAGTAAGTATAATTGAATGGGAAAAGTGGGCAATGTTTTTACCATACCATACCACTTTTATTTATAAAGCACTTTAAACAGCACAAGGCCAACCAAAGTGCTGTACAGTAGACAGACACAACAGGACATGGTTAAAATTACAGTCAAAATACAGATAAAAATATGGAGCATTTATATTTACAGTACACAYAACAGAGCTATGATACACAGTGAGGTTTTACACCACCATTTAAGCACCATTTTTGCTTAAATTTGATGTAGGAGTAAAGATTCATTCACAACACGTACATTACTCTGACAGTGACATCTCAAAAGTTTGACCAAAACCAACTGCAGCTTTGTCATTCTTAACATAAGATCATTTTATTCTAAAACATAGAAAGGAAAGGTGGTGGGCAATATGCATTTCTTAAAGAACTATAGGCCTTTAATTCAAATTAAACTTCATTGATCTGTTTTTTCCTAAAATGTATCAATATGTTTCAGTGTCACAGATTCTAAAAAGGCCTTGCGTGGAAAGCACATCAAGAGAGGATATGTTATTTCTTCGTAGGAGTAAGTATTTTAAGTGACTCTACGAACACGTTGGAAAGCTTCARTGGCAGAACTGGTTTTATTTTCCCCTTCAGACACCAAACTGGAGCTGGATCCAGACACYGTCAACGCGTGTCTTTACGTGACAAGAACAAAGAAAGAGATGTCATGGGGAATAACGGGCCAGGCTCATCCTGATCACCCCGACAGATTCACCTACTACTACCAGGCTCTGTGCCGAACGGGCCTTCRGGGAAACCACTACTGGGAGGTGGAGTGGGACGGCGGCATCGTCGAGGCGGCCGTGTCGTACAAGAMCATACGAAGAAAGGGCTCGGGCAAAGACAGCTGCTTCGGCCACAATAAGCTGTCCTGGAAGTTGATCTGCTCTCCTTCCGGCTGCAGGTTTTGGCACAACAACCTACACAAAGACCACATCCCAGCGGTTCACTCCCGCATACTGGGCGTGCTACTGGAGTACGATGAAGGGAAGCTGAGTTTCTACAGCATTTCAAGCCCTGACCGCCGGCCCACGCTCCTGCACCAGATCCAGACCAGCTTCACTGAGCCGGTCTACCCAGGCTTTTCTGTTGATCTTGGTGCAACTCTGACAATATGTTAAATTCACCTTCGTCGGTGCTCATTTAGAACATATGGAAGTTAGACAAACACAAATAAACTRCAAGGAACTGGACAATGAAAACATTCCAGAGAAACATTTATTTGCACTATATTTTTAGGGCTAATTTCTATTTTTTTTTTCATAACTGAAATGAAGAATCTAAAAGAAGTACGAGGTTTTGATGCATTTTTTTGTCCCTTGACTTGAATCATCATGAATGCAATACATATTTTTGMGATATTATTTCTAAAGTGTAAAACATGGTGGAATTACTCAGTAAATTTGCTTCATGTAATCACGCTTTTCAATTGAAATATTTCTTTTGTATGCTTTTTGTCAAAACCTGCATTACAGCAATAAAATGTTTACATATAAGAAAATAAAAAGGCTTGATATAAAAGGATGCTTTTGTTTTTTGTTAGTTTTATTTTCTGTTATTTTTTTTATGTCCGTGTTTTCTTCCTGTATGTCAAATTTAAAACACAGCAAAGTGCAGCGCCGGCGCCGCTAACAGGAGAGAGCTGGATGAAGCCAGTCATAAATCTGAGTCGATGGACAGGTGTTCGACTGTGTCGTAGAAGCGCAGAGTGGCCTTGTAATGCAGCAGCTTCTCAGTCAGAGAGCTGCTGGTCAYTGCTTCACCGCGCACCCTCAGGTCCAGGTACCTAAACAACCACAGGGTTAAAACCGAGAGGTCAGGAGACACCAAGAATGGGTCACAATCAGCCTGAATACATCCTGTTCTTACTTCATTACATCCTAACAGGGGCAGAGCTAGACATTTTTGCATGGGGTGGCCAAGGTGTTTTTAGGGGGGGCACATACAAAAAGAACAACAACTCTGGATTTGAAAATTCAAGATGGCTTCTACAGCTAAATTTAAATGGCTCAAATTTATCTGTTTTAAGACATATTGAGCAAAAAAAATTGCGTGATCGTAACTAAGAATGATAAAAACAAAACATGCTGACTGTAAATTCTAACTTAAAAGAACAAAACACAGATAATTAAACACACAACTGAAAATTAGCATGGTATTAGCCAAGAAACAACCTTTTACTAAATCTAATTTCAAATACAAAATCCAAGATGGCTGCCAAAGCWAATTTCAAATGGCTACAACTCAGACATTTTTTGAAATATTGAGCTGAAATTGGTGTGATGGTAGCCAATACTGAAAGCTAACTCAGCTAACAAAAAAAGATTTATAATTAAATGCCCATATTTCAAATGCCACACTCAAACCCCACCCCACCCCACTTGTCAATCATTTGGGGGTGGCACACTCTAGCTCCGCCCTAAATAATGGACTGTACCTGTATGACACTTTCCAAAATGCCACAGTATTTATGGCCATCAGTGAGGCCAACAGGAAGAAGAATCTCTCCAGATTTCCATCGTGCAGTGAGTTTGGGTAGAAGTTTCCTGTTACGAGATTAAAACATTTTTTCCTCACTACTGACTGGTTTAAGTGGGRAGAAAAGTAACATAGTGGCTATGATTTCTACCTCCAGAGCAAAAGTACACCAGCTGGACGACGAGGGCTCCAAGAAAACAGCCCCCTCCGTATGACAGAGCGAGGAAGTGCAGGGAGATTCCTCTGATGTGGCTCGGGGTCAGCTGGAAGGATATGAGGGAACCTAGAGAGGAAATCTAAAAAGTTTTACTCATCCGAAGTCCTCGGGAGGTGGGGGATGGGTGGGGAGGCCTCGTTTTACTCACACGCGGGGGTGACGAGAGCTTCGGCTACGCCCAGCAGAACGTACTGAGGCGCCAGATGGAAGCACGGCATGGACGACACGAGCAGAACCTTCCCCGATAGGGTCTGCTCCACCTGGGGGTACGCCTTCCTGTGCAGCTCTGACACACCTGCCAGCAGGACGGACAGAGCGGCGCAGGCGTGGCCCAGAGCTAGAAGGGGAGGACGGACAGGGGTGGGGTGATGAGAAAGGGGGCTGTGATTTCAGAGGATGGGAGTGAGAGAAGCACATTGGCATTTAGGTGAAGATGATGGAGGTTATCATGTGTGGACTGCTGTGTTTGTGTGGCTGACTTACCTATGACCTTAGCCGGCGCCAGAGGAGTTTTCTCCACCGAGAGCAGGCAGGTTGCCACAAACTCCATGAGAGGAGCTAAGAGCAGCAGAGGCAGGATGCTGATCACGTTCATGGCACCGATGGGCAGCAGCATGTCGTTCAGGTGAAGGTTGGAGTTCATGGTCTGTATGTAGTAACCCGAGGCAATCTGTGGAAAATACTTCTTTAATTTCTTTGCCCAGTTGATGATTTGAGCTCGCGATTTGTTCACAGTGAACCTGCCTGTGTGACGCAAGCTCTGTACAGCAGCTGAAGCCCATAAAGAGGAAAGAGCTTCATCAGGACTTTGACGTTCTCCACGTGAGTCTCGCTGCAGCGGCCGCCGTTGTTCTCTTTGGCCCTGTCCAGCCAGGACACTGCGTCTCCACTCAGGTGACGATGGTGGAGGCAGCACATTTTGAACGAGTTCAGGAAAACTCCCAGAGTGGTCAGCAACGATCCACCTGAGAGCAGCCAAAAGCAAGAAGAAACAGGTTGTCCGTCGCTGAGCTTTAATTGGAATCCACGTGTTTTTGTAATTTGTGTCACCTTGCTTGGGTTTGTAGGTGAGTTTGTTGCGCATCATGTGGATGGCAATGAGAGCCAACAGCACAGAGGTGAAGGGGATGAGGAAGGCCAAATTCTGGGCGACCGACTGCTGGATGTAAGCAATGCCCAGAAACACAACCATGGAATTCAGATTCACCAGCCAGTAGAACCTGGAAGGAATGAATTAAAACATTACACACTCACACACTTCTACACTTYGTGGTTCATTTTTCAACCACTTGTTCACTTTTTTGCGGTTTTATCTGTAGGACATTTTGTCTAAAATGATTATGCCGTTTATTAGTATCAGTAGATCTTCTCTCTACTGGCTCCCTGTCAATTTCACGACAGAATTTAAAATCCTATTTCTAACATACAAAGCTCTCAACAACCAAACTCCATCTCATATTTAAGATATTGTTCCATATTTTCCTAACAGAGCACTTCGCTCTCAGACTGCAGGTTTACTTGTGGTTCCTCGAGTTTCTAAAAGTAGAATGGGAGGCAGAGCTTTCGGTTATCAAGCTCCTCTCTTGTGGAACCAACTTCCAGTTTCTGTCCGTGAGGCTGACCGTCTACTTTTAAGATTAGACTGAAGACTTTCCTTTTTGATAAACCGTGTAGTTAGACTTAGGTTTCCTGAATTATTCTTTAGTTCTGCTGTTATAGACTTAGACTGCTGGAGCACAAAGTGAGCACATTTCTGCTGACATCTTTAGTCTCTCTCCTCTACATGTTTAATTGTAATTATTTCTTTCAATAACGTGTTTTCTTTGTCTCTCATCTAGAAATAAATACACTTGGACCAGTCCTTTTTTGTTTGTGTCCCTTTCCTGTTCCCCAAACCCAGCTGGTCGAGGCAGATGGCCTCCTGTCCTGATCCTGGTTCTGCGGGAAGTTTCTTCTTGTTAAAAGGGAGTTTTTCCTCTCCACTTTCACCAATGTGCTTCTCAGGATTGGAGGCTGCGACAAAGTGACTTAACGCAATCTGCTGGCTTCCTTAAATTGTTTTTTTTTTTTTTTGTACAGCTCCCTTTTGTGGCTTGGCATTGTATTAATAAACAGAATTGAACTGAACAATAACAATGTCAACCCGTCGCTTGGGGTCGTAACAGTTGCTGAACCCACCAGTTGAAGAAGGATAGGAGCTGGTGCTGGTTGTAGCTCTGCAGACTGTAGGCACCCATGGGACAGAGGATGGCCCTGATGCCACCGATGCCCAGCGCAGCAGCCAGGAGGCCCGTGTAGAACAAGATCTGCTGCTCCAGAGGGTCCAGCTTGTGGGTCATGTGATGAGTGTCGATGTAGAAATCCTCAAATGGAAATGCAACCACGGGCAGCATGGCTGTGCCTGAAGAACACAAGGAGGTGCGCCGGCATCAAACACTCTGCACACTCYCTCTTTTTCAAATACGTTGTTTTATAAAATCAGATGCAGTAATTTGTGCTGCCTATTGGCTTCATTGCATCTTAGACTTAAAATGTGATAAATAATGAATGAAACCRTCTCTTACCAAAGAAATGAAGAAGAGCACACAAGTAGAGCACTTTAGTCCGTCCTAAGCAGGTGTCTGCGAACCAGCCAACCAGGACAGGCGTCAGGGTGCTGGCTCCGATGAAGCACAGGTTGACCGTTGCTGCCAGGTAGTTGCCATAGCCCAGCTTCACAGTACAAAATATAATCATGTTGCATATAATCCCAAAGAAAGTAAATCTTTCACACAGCTCTACAAGCAGAACACAGATGACGACTTGGAGCTTTTTGCGGGACTTCCTCGGTCGTCTGTGGTCTGCAGGAGGGGTTTGGGAAATCCGTCGCACTCCACCTCTGCCTTCTGGCGGTCTCTGAAGTTCCCCTGCCACCATGTCACCACCGGGCCCAGCGAAGTGGCTGCCGAGCTGCCGTGTTGTCTGAGGGTCACGTCTTATCATGCAGATGGCTCTAAATGAGATCTCATGTTGTTCTGCTGTGGGCAAAAAGGCTGAAACTGGAATCCCACAGGCTGGTGTGACTCTGAAGCAGAGCTACCGTCACGTAGAATCAGACTCACCCACCTGAGTTTGATCTGTTCCACTCAGTTAAATTTTAATTTTAGAAGGATTCTGAGAAGTTCTGAGTAACTGTTTGCTCATRATTTAATAACAAAACTAACTAAAGCACACAGATAAATTTTTCAGTGATAAAAACTAAATCTGGTGATAARTGAACGTGTGCTGCATTATGTTGCAGACTCAAAATGCCACAACTCCTCGTGAAAACGGCTTCTCACTTTGGGTCGCCTGCTGGTAATTAGACCCATAATGTTAGGAAGGAGTGAGATGGAGTTTAGCTCAGTCACAACCGGCTCAGAGGTCTGGGACAAACAACCTGTTCTTGCTGTAAACTGATGCTCTGAACTAAAATCATCATCCGTGCAGAAAAACAAACAACAAGTGGGTAATTTATTTAAAGTTACTTTAGTTGTGGTGGCCTGATTCATGAAAATATTGAAACTATTACTGACAAACAATTTGTAAAACTAACTCTTGAAAACTATGAATGTCTTTTTAG